TCTAATATTATTGTTAACAAGTAATCAAAATTGTTAAAACGTAAATTATTGTGATAGAYATGCTGTTTACCACGATAAATCTGATTATAGGTACTTATAAACTTAACGATCTGTGTTTATATTTTATCAAAATTTTGTGATATTATAAGCATCACGAATATAAATCCAGATTTACGGTAGGTATTGAAAAATCAAAATTTGCATTCATACAACGTACGATTGGCGAGTATAGATATGTGTCGTTAATAATTCATCAACCAATATGCATGTATTATGATAAAGTTATTGTACTTAACCTAACCTTTACAAGGATCAAATAAATCGAATCCGTATTTCCGTGTATACAGTATACATACTGCATTACTACATAAATTCATAAATTTATAATTACTTGCAAGGATGCCAATATTTATAGTAACTCAAATCTCACAATAGAAAATTTAATAAATTTAAGCCAACGGTTAAATTCAATCGTTAAAAATATATCTCTGATAAAGTTATTCAACGATTTGAATTTGTGAAATTAAAATAAACCTATCATTAGGTATAATATCCATTATCCGCGATTTATATATATGAAATGTATATATACAAAATTATATTATCTATAATAGTACCTATACCTATTCGTTTTATTTCGTTTTTTCTTCAACTGTATWATTTATTATTTAATTTTTTTTTTATCTAATTAAATTGAGACAATAATAATGAAATATAACTTTGGGTTATGATACATAATGTTGTAATTAGGTACTGACTAGAACGAAGAAAATATGAGTTAACTATGCGATATTATAATATAACGACAATTGTTGCGTGTCAGGTATTTTAAGAATATTTAGTCATTTTAAATGAATTATTTATAAATAGGAATAACAGATCCAACAGATGACTGAAATCATAATATTGTAGTACACCTTACGGTAAAAAATTGTGTGTTATCGTATTTTGCCGGYTTCGTATATACCAGTTAAAATTCGTACTACTGTATAATAGAAAAAAGGAGAAAAATAATAATTATTATAAATCATTATTTGACGCGGATATATATATAAAATGTTTAAAATATATATGTCGTAGCCACTTCGTGAAATCGATCTTTTCATAAAAATATTACCATTTCGTGAAATGGAAACACGTTTTTTATACTTTGTGAAATTCAAAAATATTTCACGAAATGGTCACTCAAATTTAACATCGTGTAATTTTTTTCACAAAGTAAACGACCACTTTGTCTATTGAAATACAACATTTAACGACTTAT